GTTGCGTCCATGTAGTGAGTGTGATTATGATGTGAAATGAATGCTAAATAGTGTTATTTTGGTATATGTGATTATCTCCATCTGGCGGTATTTTCTCAAGGCAACTGAATTGCTGACTATCCAAAGTAAAATTCTGAGAACACATATGCATCATTAGTCTTTAATTGTCTTTTCATTGAGAGATACCCGGTGATACTGGCAGATATCTTTAGCACTACTTGAACAGTCGCTCAGTGCCTGCACCAGTGTCTGGCACAGAGAGTAGAGCGCATGCGAGACGGAAGAGGACAGGATATTTGTGCTTGCTCTTTCCCGTACACCCTAGGCAGAAGCAACACAATCGCTGGCAGGTCAATTGCCCATATGTAACAGAACAACGGCGGATGAAACTCTCACCTTCCTGAAGGTATCTATTACCTCGTCCAGTTGGCCAAAGAGGTGTCCGATGGCACAAGCAGCTGGGCTAACTCCGATGCCGGATGCTGGGACCGATGCCTTGTGATACAGAAAGATAAATCAGGAATATGTTGTCGGTATTGGAGAAAGCCCTTCCTCAGGTAATCACGATAGTATCTCGATGTCTCACTACGACGTTTAGAAAACTTTGTGTCATTATATCTGAGAGCTTATACTGGGGTGCAAGCACTGTACCCAGATTGGCCCACCCTCTCCGTTCGAGCTTGGTGCTGTGAGACGTGTGTCTCGGAAGGTACTCTAGGTGCGCGTCATAGGAGGACCGGCAGGGCTATATGTTTCGCAGCGGTGGCTGGGATAGCAGTTGCTAGCGAGCTTCAGCAGGATAAACTGGGTATACTGGTCGGTCATATGGGTAGTCCGCGTGGCGGCAGAAGCGGTTGAAGGACCGGATGATGATGTGGAGAGGTTTCCCGGCGGCAACGGCTACTGCCGCGTGGTTGACAGTGACTTCACACAAACGACATGTCGGCAGACTTCGTTAAGTACGTTGACGACAAATGCCAGGTGGGCGCCCACCTGGTTTCTCTCCTCTGACCACTTACGCAACATGGTGCCAAAGCACAGGGTCAAGGAAAGGTCGGCCTCAGCGGTTGTTGTGTCAGGATTGGACAGGATGTTTGACTGAAGGATGAATATATGGATGACCGGGTAGGACGAAACGAGACTGAGGTTTTCAACTGGTTAGCTGCTACATTCTGTCTAGGTTCTCGGATATACGCACCTGATCGTGTTGTAGGGGTTGCCCGTTGGCAATTTGGACCAGTGCTCTAATATATAAATTGACTGACGGGCTGCATCAAGCGACGCTTCAGGAATCTGCTGCAAGGGATAGGATGTTTTTGTAGATTGTTGAAACGATATGATTAATAAGTGGCTGCTGAAGAGGAGGTCGGCATAAAGGTACGTGTCTGTTGGGTTTACTGCAGCTCTAAATGAACGCTCCTTCGTTTGTTAGTGGAAGAATATAATACGGATAGTGATACCGAAAGACGTACCAAGTCCCATTCAGCTACCACAGATTTAAGCTCAAGGACAAGTTCTGTTATTTGGTCCTCCGAAGCATGGCCGTGTGTATCGAGGAATTCCAGAAACCTCAAAGTAATGAACGCAAATCTCATACTAACAATGAAATACACTTGAAGGGAAGATTCTGGTGCGACTCCATCCGGATGGAGAGGCAGGTCAGGAAAGCGCACGCACCAGCTACCAAAGGGTATGACTGGCGACTTGCCAAAGAGCTGCCTGAATAGACAGTCGGTCTGCAGTAGCTGCCAGAACGCATATCGTTTTTGGCTTTTGGTCAATGTGCAGTCAGTCGACGTACTACTGTAATCCCCTGGCGCATCTGAGCCCTCCATGTGTTCTGCGTCAACCGTGAAAATCCCCAACTGTCGTCCAATGGAGCACGCTCGACGGAAGCAATCCCAAGAGAGATCGTAGTTGAAGAAGTCGGCCGCCAACCAGCTCTTCAAAGAGTTGTTAATTGTGTCCATGTTCGAAGAGGGGAATAAACTATGTTTGATCCTGGCAAAAATCGATTGACTCACCAGTAAATATGCCGCTTGAAAATCTATGGGACGTTCCCCTGCTTCACGCTGCCAACGTTCCAGTAATCGAATTGTGGACCGATACAGAGAGGTCGATATTTCACGGCGTTGATGGCACAAGGTAGCATCCAAGAGCATTCCACGAAAGATGACATGATGGTAAATGATGAGTGCAGATGCGTCGATATGAACATATGCCAGGCCAGATACTAGTGGAAGCTTAGACATCAACTGCTCGTCTATCGGTAGTTGGGCGTCCAAAGATCGAAAGTTTTCAAAATACACTGTAGGAGTAGAATTAGTGATGAGTTCGAATATATCCTATGTCCTTGTTAATGAACGGGCCAGACGGACAGTTTACCCATCGCACCGCTGTCTCTTCCGAGATTTTGATGTCATCACACGGTTCAACCGCCTGCATCATCCTGCACAGTTTCGCAACATGAGGAAAACCGTTCAGCATCTCATTGAGCTCATATTCTCGAGGCGACCAAGGTTGTGAGACATGCGTCTGTAGTGCATCACGTGCTTTGGCTATTGCGTCAAGCACAACAACCGAGAAGCTAGGGTCTAGTATGGCGTCAGTTGAAGCTCACAAGGGTCAGCGGGGAGAGAAATCCCCCACTAGTTAGTCCAAGGCTCTCCAAAATATCATGGTTTAACACTCTGGGCGTCCGAGCTGTCGTATTCGCCGTTTGTGTACGATGAGGCGATGGGACGCTCTCCAGAGAGAACTCCCGGTTAATGGAAGCTATGTGTTCCTCCACGCTTGAGAGGCGCTGTAGAATGTCAGATACGGTGTCATCCAGGCTTGCTGCTTGAGCACTGGTTTGAGTTAGCCACAGGCATAGAATGGTCAGGTGATTGGGGCTCGGAGACAATCACTCACCGTTGCCCCTTGGGTCTTGTGGCCCGAGGGGCATATTCGCAATCAACTCCTCCCTGCACGCATTTGCCGCATTGAGGTAAGGTTTTGCTGCACCGAATCTATGCCAAATTTAGTTTACCATAAGGTGGTGTCCGTACGGTAATTCTGCACCCATTCGCCCAGTATCTACCTTTTTTTCCTTGCATCTCCGGCACTGGGGCTTGATTAATAATAAGCAGAGACATTGTCAAAAGATCTTACCGAGATTGGATTCATGGGTACCGTCTGCTCGGTCATTGCGTTTAGCCTTCAAGAGCGCTGACGATGAGAGTAGGCAGTGAGAGGAGATTCGGCCCCCTTGGAAGTCTTGATACATCAGAATTCGGGGTCTCGGACTCCGGCCTCTAACTTCGCCCCACCAGCCGTTTCTATGAGTTCACCATAAATTTTCACTTAGTACTTACTGTCATAGTGTCATCCAATCCGCGCTATCGACTTGTATGTTTATTCTCAATCTCAACTAATACCCTGTCACGCCCAATCGTCTTGCGTTCTGCAAATCGGAGATCGCTAACCTACAAAGATATCAAGCATTGGCATTGCCGAGTACCTCCTTTGGATGTCATGAGTGAACAAGACCCGCTCGGGGTCTCGGACTCCGGCAACAACAACAACAACAACCCCGTCCATTCCTCAAGAATTATGTTCGCGAACGGCCAGCAGCGGAGAATAATAAGACGTAGTGGAAAGTAGACTCTGTATAAGTTCTCCACAAGTGTCCGACTTAGCCGTTCATTGGTTACCTTACTGGAGGGCGACACGGAGACTCAAGCTCTTTCTAAATTTATAAATAAGTGATTGGCCACTGCATGCGAAAGCGGCGTTAAATATCTTTTCAATCATTAATTGCACTGCAGTCGCGATTGTAATCTTCTACATCCAGATCCCTGCATAACTCCAGCTGCGTGTGATAGTCAAATACGGAGTTAGGCTTAGACAACGATTCGGAAGGCCCGCTATTCAGGCGAGGAAGAGACACTCCTCCTCGAAAGAAAGAAAAAGAATAAGAGAAAAGGAGATAGACTAATGGCTTCTGTTCCACATAGCAACTCAGCGGTTAATTTCCAAACAACAGTGTACCCACATAGAATTCCAAACTAGTGCCCAGTGGCAGGACCGTCAACTTTTCCTTGCTCCTCTGGTAAGTGAATGGCGAATAGACATAGTGCAGTTGGTATATGCTTACCCTTTGCTGTGACCCTTAACAGGCCTTCCCCTTTAGTCGAGTTTCTCACCATCCACGACGGCGTCTGATCCAAAGACGCCTAAGAGATACAACGTCCTTGTCAGAAAGAGGAAGGATGGTATAAGGAGATTGGCCCAGATTATGGTAGTCCAAGAAGAAGCTGCAGCCATCCCTTCTCTTCCTAAGCACCAGGCAGTGCTGCTCAAATGTCCCAAGTCTCCCCACCATAACGCTGAGAGATATGCCTTCACGACCTTTATTTCACTGGTTGTGTTGAGCACAAAGATAGTAATAAATGCCAGCAGAAGATAAACATTGCTCAATTGAAGAGCTAGAATGCGCTCAGTAGGGAGTAACCCGTGAGGCCGGGAGGCAGACGATAGAGAAGCAACATATGTTGGGGTCGAGATCACTGAGGTTGCGAAACCTGCAAAGAGGAGAACAGGCTCTATAATGCAGAAGATGTAGCGGGGAACGGGTTTGAGGAGAGTAGACATGATCAGAAGAGGCTGTGCAATGATACAGACGTTGTACCACAACTGTAGGTGATAAGGGCAGTATATAGATTCCTGGTCAATATGGATGAGATGCGGTGCTCGGACACTCGGGGGTTTGGGCAGCCCGAAAGCCCACCACAGCTGTCTTGGCCAGAGAGTCGGACTCCGGCACATGTCCATACAGAGACGCATGATGTCTTAACGTTGCGTCTTTGAGTTCCTGCCAGATCTGCTATAAAGCTGGCTGGCTCACCCGCGAGGTTGGAAATGGGGTCTCATCGGCTTAATTGTTTTCTTCTACTACACTGCACCCTTGAAACCGTTTCGCTCATCGTCTCGCAGAGCTCTGTTTCCAAACCATCCCAATGCCAACACTTGGATTGGCAGGTGGCACGTCACCCAGCCTTGGCCGGGCAATCGTGACCGCGCTGTTTTCTGCTCCACATGGGCCGCAATGGAAGATAGTTATCCTCTCCCGCTCTCGTCATCGCCCACTCTGGCTTCGTGCCGTCGACCCAGAAGAGCTGCGCGTCCAGATTCGCACTGCTGACTACCTCTCTGTGGAATCGGTTGCCGGCGCGCTGAAGGGCGTGGACACACTTATTTCAGTAACATCCGCGCTAGATGGGTCCCAGCGACAAGTCCAGCTAAATTTACTCCACGCAGCGGTTAAAGCTGGCTGTGCACGCTTTGCGCCATCACAATGGGGATTTGGGCCGACCGGACTGGAAGCAGTCAGCGCCACAAAAGGAGCAGTTGAAGGCGTGTGGGAAGAATGCATGAGATTCCAAGATAAAATCGAATGCACCAGGTTTAACCACGGCTCGTTCATGAATTATTTGGGACATGGAATTTTTCCTAACCCTGAGCCACGGCTGCCGGAGGACGAGCAACTTATCAGGCTGCAGGAAGGTGGCGGATATGCAAAAGGTGAAGATGAGGCATGTCAGGGCCTTCACCGGCAAGGAGATATGAAGGATGGCTCCGGGGCATTTCTCATATCGCTCAAGAATGGCATCGCTGAATTACCTCAGAGGGACGACGGCAAATGGCCCCGGATTACCTTGACTACGATGAGGGATGTGGGTCGCTTCGTCGCATATTCTTTAGAGCTTCCCAGGTGGGAACCCAGCATGACCATGGTTGGTGAAACTCTCACCATGGGTGAACTTCTTGCACATGCGGAGGCGGTAGCGAAACGCAAGCTTGATGTGACGGTTGTGAATTCGAAGGACCTTGAAAGAAAGCTGAAAAATGTCTCTTCTGATGATTTTATGGCTTGGCTATGGGCTGAACTTAAACTCGCATACTGCAGAGACCGGCTAGACGAAGGGTACCTGGAACCAGTTGTTAATAGGCTGTGCCCAGAGGTGAAACCTACGTCGGTGAAGGAGTACTTGCAGAGCCACTGGATGGATGCGGATTAAAACCAGTTGGAGCGCATCCAAACGTTGATTAGCTATGATATTGGTCTAACCTTCTGATGTGCTTCTCTGCTATTTTTGTATCTGTGCGCTGTTTCTTTGTCTGGATAATAAAATATTCGGATAACTGGCATTGAAATGCTGATAGCTCGCCACCATCATACCTTGAACATAATCTTTCTATTCAACCGTGTTATTGTGCGAGAAGGGTCTTGCTTGCATGCCATCAAAGTCTAAGGGGCAGAAGATATCTATGCATCATGAGGTCGTTGTCTAGGTTGCCTAAGTCGCATTATTTGTGTGAGATGGCTACAGTAGAGGAAGCACAGATCTCCAGTGCCATGGACTGTATGTTTCCCCGGAGATTGACTTTTTGATCAAAATTCAAACTAATATATAGACTTGTATACAAATAAACATTATTCTATAGGTAATATATATACTTCAGTTACACTAGTGTTTAGAATGTATTAATAGTCCAGCCTTTATGAAAGGACGCTTAGTAGATGTATGCCTAATTCGGGACTATAGCAGTTAGAGTTGCATAACTGAACCCCTAAAATTGAATTTGACCCTCACCGAACTCGCAGCAGTTTGGGTTCGGTCCCTAGCTCAGGGAATCGCACCATTCGAAGAAGTCATATCGGACTTTCCGAGAGAAATTTTCGATTCTCTTCAAAAGAGGGAAAAAGTGCTTCCCATCGTCCACTAAGTTTATAGCTCCATCAGTTGCATATAGAATCAGGAAACAAAAAGACAAAACTAAATTGGGGATGGAAAACACTCTACAATTCTTCCTCAACCTCCTCGCTGACTAGGCCAAATCCAAACCCCAAGACTTGAACCCCAGGTCCAGCCTGTCCTCGTTGCTGGCGGCTTTTCCCCCGCCAAAGTCCTTCAAATTCCACTTCTCAACACCCTCAAAGCCCTTCAATTCGTTTCCGAACGCCAGGAACAGACCAGCGTTCAGGCGCTCATATTCGCCGTAGTCCTTAGGCCAGTCACCCAGGCGCTGCAGGGCAAGCTTGAGTAGGAGCAGATGCTGGCGGATGTGCTCGCCGTCAGAGACGCGGGCGTCATTGGCGGCGGTGTCGGTCAGGTCGAGGTCGTCGTCGGAGCCATCGGATTCGGCGAATCTGCGCAGCAGGTCCTCGTGCACGCTTGCGCTTCTCTCGTAGTACTTGTTCGCCAAGTGCTGGTCGTCCTTCGCGGACTGGTAGCGCTCCGCGATATCGGTGTAGAGCTGCGAGAGAAGAGTCGACATTTCCAGGGTGCTCCAGTCGCGAGCGCCGTAGACGCGACGGTAGTTGTACACAATGTCCTCGGCCAGGCGTGTGGCCTTCACAACGTCACCCGCCAGGTAGGTGGCCAGGATGTAGCGGCGAGTCAGCTGAAGCCCCATGGCGGGCGACAGGTTGATCATCTGCTTCCAGAGACCAGCCAGAAGCCAGGCCAGGTTCTTGTAGTCCTTCTTCTCACCAAGAAGGTCAATCAAGCTGTTCAGATAGTCCAGGCTAATCTTGAGTATCTCATCTGGCAACACTGACTGAGCGCCTAAGGCTTGAACCGCAGCGCGCCTCACGTCCCGGTCTGGGTCTTCCAACAGTGCTACCACGGCTTTGAGTATCTCCTCTGGCAATGCTGATTGACTGCCTAAAGCTTGAACCGCAGCGTACCTGACATCCCCAACTGGGTATGTCAAGCATGCCGCCACAGCTTTGAGTATCTCCTCTGGCAACGCTGATTGATCGACTAAGGCTTGAATGGTATTGCGCCTCCCATCCCCAACTGGGTATTCCAGCCGTGCTGTTAAGATTCTGAGTATCTCTTCTGGCAATACTGATTGATCACCTAAGGCTTGAACCGCAGCGCGCCTCATGTCCCGATCTGGATATTCTAACCGTGCCGCCACGGCCTTGATCGATACAGATTCGTGGTCGCCATCCGTTGTTCTCCAAGACCAAAACTTTGAGGAATATCCCGCTTCCTCGCTAGTGAGGAGCTTTGAGAAATCGGCCGGAGTCTGCCGATAAACTCCAGCTGCAGAAAAGCCGAGGCTGCTTGCCTCTGACTCGGTGCCGTTATTTTTGCCTTTAGAATTAAGTTTCGCCACCTGCACTGAGGCTCTCGAATCTCCAGTTTCTTCCTCTTCACTGGTATTGGGCAGGACGAAGAGGGCGATGTCCTCCATGTGAGCAGCAAGATGCCCCTGCAATGCCGACAATGAGAGTTCCTCTCCACAGACGAAGCATGTGGTTTTCTCGTAGTCTGAGACATCCACCTGGTGATCGCAGAGATCCAGAATAACGCTCAACTGAGCCGGCGGAATAGATTCGCCATAGTGTTCTCGAAGATGTGTTGACATTTCGTTTCTGCTGGGACATCTCTTATAGCACTCTTTGCAGACAAACTCGCGCCGGTGAATCTGAAGTTCGTGATATATCCAGTCGCGACGGCTGACATATAGCTTTCCGGCATTCGCGCAGTCTTGGAATGTGCAGACATAGGGACGGAGATCGCGGAATACATGGCGCCTATAAATTGTCAGTTCAGAGGATTGAACTGAGGTCGCAGGACTAAGGTGTGACTCACTTCCAAGACTGCCTGTTCTGCATCTCCCTAGACTCGAGCGTCATCCCACAATACGGACATGGAAAGGTGAGTTTTCCATCTTCCATCTTTGGGAGATCTGGGACAGAATTGGACCCGCCTTGGCCGATGGCTGTGGGCGCGTAGACTGTCCGCGGCCGAACGTCGGTCTTCGTATCGCGGATGTCTGAGACAGCAGCTGTAGAGAAACTTTGTTTTGAAACGGCTGAGTTGGACCCTTTCCGGGAGACATCGAGGTTAGAGGGTTTAAATGTAGACACTTGGCTTCGTGGTTCCTGTTTCTCTTCCACTTGTTCGGCGTGGACTTGCGCCAGATTTGGTGTTGCAAGTCGGGCTACGGTGGCCGTGTCCTCCTTAGGATCATACGGATGATCAGTCCAATATTGGAGCTGCTCTCGTCGCCTTGTGTTCGCTCCTGCAAGCCGCTGGCAGAACCACAGAATGTCTTCGACGCAATCGTTCGTCACTGCTTGTCCCACCGGAGCAACGGCCTCGTCCTCAAATTCGACACACCGCGCGCTCTTGGTCAAGCCGCGCCATTGTAGCACCTTCTCCACTATGTGGCCCTCGTCCGAGCTGCCGAAGCAGACATTTAATGGCAAGCTGTCCCGGTCGCTCAGCGTGGCTATGTTTGACTTTGAGTTAACAGAGCGTATATACTTGTCTGCGATCTTAGGGCGCCGCAGTAAAGCAGACAGCTCGTAAAGTGATCGGACTTGCTCCAGCACCTGCTGGACGAGCAGACGAATTTTTGGCACCCTATGGCGTTGGTGTTCGTCATAATCGTCCAAATCAGAATCCGAATCAGCACTGACACTGCTGATCGAGTCACGGTCTGATCCAGCGACAGGATCATATTTCCTTCTAGCAATATACGTTGCTAAAGCAAGGTCAGACGAAGGCTCAAGTGTCCCCGAATTATGCGACTTGCCTTGGCCGAGGAGTGCTCTCAGCCGCATGAGGATGGCCTGCACCAAACCTTTGAGCTCATTGTCGTGCCGGAGTGTGTCATCCAATGAGCCACGAGCTCTTGCCGGAAGCTGTGCATTGACCTGATCACCCCATATCTTGGCCCTCCCGTACTCTTCCAATATATCGGAAAGGTGAACCTGCTCAAGACGAATCGCACGGCAGTCCTCCTCGCTGAGGGCCAGCAGGAAGCTTCCAAATAACTGGATGCACTCTAGGTATGACTCGGAAAGAGATGGGCCAGACAATCGTGTTGAGTCGCCCATCATAACGGCAAGCCAAGGAAGATTCTGACCATCAGCGCCTCAACATTGCTTCGCGGTTAGAGTCTGGCCGCCGTGACATTCCTAATCTGGCAATTTAACAACAACACAACTTTCGTTGATGTTGGCAAGGTGGGAGAAGATGATGAGGGACGTCCGGACAGCATAGGAATCTCTGGGCCAATGAGGGACATATATGGGTCCAGGGCATCCATCCATGTCTGCGCAAGCCGACCCAATCGGACCCTGCCACGCTCAACACGAAAACGCCATGTCACTGCCTGAAACAAGTTATGTTGGTGGTTACCAAATGTCCCAGCTCGCACTGTCGCAGAACGAGCCTCTCGTCCGACCGCAAAAACCTCCCTCCGACTTTGACCATCCCTCTCCCGTCAGGCTCTACAGTGCACCGGGGAAAAGATTAGCAGCGAAATATATTGGATACTGGTAGGCAAGTTGAGTTCGACGTGCTTTACCATCATTGGGATAGCCCTTGGAACAGAAGGTGAGTGGGATAACTGACAGGACAAGGATCTAGCTGACAGTAATTCATGTGGATGTGCCAGAACCATGGCTGAAGTCGCAGGTCTCGTTCTGGGCGGGATACCACTCGCAGTTTGGGCTCTTGAGAGATATGTGGAGCCTTTCGAAGCTTTCCACGAATACCGCACTTCAATAGAGACCTTCCGGACCGACCTGATCCTGCAAAACCGGCAACTCCATACGACTTTCTGCAATGTTGGACTTGGCAAGGAACCGTCGAGTGAAGAGCTGCGTGAATGCTTTGACTCGAAGTTTCCCAGTATCTCTCGCGAACTGATGTCAATTGTTCAGCGCGCATGGACGGCGTTATTGCCAGCCTCATGAAGAACCTAGATATCGACGTCAACGCAAAGGTATAGAGGTTCAAATCCACAACCTTCTTTCCGGCGGTGCTGTTACTAAAAATTCAAACCGAGCTAACTTGCGACTACACGATTAGCCCAAAGCTCTGCCAGATAGGGCCCAATGGGAATGGCGTCGAGTGAAACACAGCTTCAGCACAAAAAAGCGCAACAAAGTGATCGAGGACCTCAGGCGTTGGAACGAAGACTTGAGGAGGTCTCTTGAGAAACCTGAAGTGCCTGCGGAAGACGACAGTGGAAAAGTCCGAGATCTCAAGCGCCGCTTCAATATTCAGCGTTCCAACTCAATCCGTCAGTGCTTAAGCTCTCTTCACCGAGCACTCGAGACTGGATTTCGTTGTGCCTGCTCACCCCCTCACCAAGCTGCCGTCGATCTCGACTGGGCGGCGTATGAATCTGATACAGCCGAAACTCTCAAAGTGGCCGTCTCCTACAGAACAATCTCACAGTCGCCGCAGCGGCCTGGTTCATGGCGGAAGCTTCACACGTTACTTCATATGCTCCATCTAAGATGGTCAGCTCGGTCCCTAAGTTACTGATGCCATCACCACCTTTCGCTACAGATCCTTCCCCAGCTTCATCTCTCCGATCTAGGATGGTATACATGTTCCGCTCACTGTCCCGGACACCATCACCACCACCGATTCCGCCGGATTTATCCTCCGTATCGACTGCTGTGCCAGCCTCAGCAAGCACTGAGATAACCAACCTTTGTGACGCAGTATGCACAGAATGTAATCCACGGCCTCTGGCCGGCTTCCTCAAAGACACCCAGACGAGCAACAAGGTCGACGATTCTCTTTCGATCACAGCAACGCAGAATTGTCAAAAATTATCAAAGCAGTACCTCTGAAGTCTCTACTTTCATCTCGCGAGCAGTTAACCCAGCAACAAAGTAGATATATTTCCCTGTCCGCAAAACAGAGGTTTGGCATCGCCGCATCCATCGCCTGGTCAGTCCTGCACCTCAGTGGCAGTCCCTGGCTTGGTGACCACTGGGACGAGAAGCAAGCAAACATTTTTCTCGAGAGAACCCAAGGCGACCGGGAGATGCTCTCCCGGAACCCGTGTGCCTTATGTATATTCTCATCGCCAACAACCCCGGAGGAGCCGCTCACGAACGACTTCATACATCTCATCCCCAACAGAATTGTCTTCGGCCTCGGCATTCTCCTCATCGAGCTCTGCATCAACAAGTCCTTTGCGGAGATCCGACAGACAGATGAGAGTGCGATGGCAGCCTCACTGCTGGATGACTATCAGACTGCGCTGAGCAAGTTGGATGAGGTGTACAGGCTTGCGGGAGACTCTTACGGAGATGCGGCGGCGCGGTGTGTGAAGCTTGAGTTTCAGGGGCGTGATCTGTACAAGAATTTTGATTTCTCCCAGTTCCGGCGGCAATTCTACGACGCTGTAGTTGCGCCGGTGCAGGCGACTTATCTTATGTTTCCGGATTCGCGCATACCTGTGTAAGCTCTGCTCTGTGGACTTGTACGCCCGAATCTAGTAGGCATAATGCTCATCGTCTAATTCTATATACAGGTATACTACGGACCTGGTGCTTAGTGGCCTGATGTGATGAACAAATTCAGATGCATTGTCAAAACCCGACCTCGAATAACTATCCAGTAAAATTCAAGCTTCTTGACCAGCGCACTGCAGTGACCGCAGAGTCCTCTTAGCAAAGCGCAGACCGAAATCCTTGAACGCTCGAGACGCATTCTTTACAATGCTCGGCTATTAAGAACTTGTACGAAAAAGATAACCATCTTTCGAGAGGAATCAGGTTCTAGCAGATCAGTATACATACATCAACAGGCTGAGTCTTCTTCTTGATCTCGTGGCTGGGTTTTAAATGGTGTGAGGAAAGGATTGACCCCATTACGTTTTTACTGGAAAAGCGTTAGCGAGATACCAGAATTATAATGCATAATGCATAATATGCATCTACAAATATTTTTCCATGATGGATTTCAATCTCTCATGATCCACCGCTTTGACTATCTTTCCCCGAGGGCCTTCCATGTCTTCAGCGCCTAATAATGCATTGTAGATCGCTTCCTCCGTGGCGTCAGCTGCACCTTCGAATAAGGCGTTAATCGTCACATCCTGCACCACAGATACCTTCTGCTCAACTGTTGGCTTCCAGCTGAAATCTGGAGCTCGTGGAATCGGTTCGGCCGTGCTGAAGGCGATGAAAATATCCCCGGAGCTATTTGAGCCCCATCCTCCCACGCGTGACAGCCCAACAGTCGCTCGTTTGGCCAAGCGCTGCAGCTGGGTCGGATGAAGTGGCGCATCCGTTGCGATCACCACGATGATACTTCCATCCTTGGCCTTCGTTGCATCGTCCTCTTTGGCTGCTGCTGCGGCAGCCGCCCCGTCTTCTTGCTCCATCAGTAGCCCAACAGGAGCGCCCCCGAAGCGGAGATCTCTCTTCGCGCCGTAGTTCGCCTGGACCAAAGCAGCAACAGTATAGTTTGTCTCAGTGCCGAAAGCCACACCATCAATAACACGACTGGCACTCCCAGTGCCGCCTTTGAAGCCTTGGCACATCATGCCGGTTCCCCCACCCGTGTTACCTTCTTTCACGGGGTCGGCGCTGGCCTGGTCGATTCCTCGAACAACCATATCCGATGTAACTGCCATAGCACCAATGTCGCTGAGGAAAAGATCGCACGTTTCGGCCACGACCGGGAGCAGGAACCAGTCCACCAATCCGGTTTCCTTGTCCTTATACTCCCGAACCGCATACTCGTAGACCCCCGTGTAGCATGCACCGACCGAGAACGAATTCGTGAGAATGATCGGGGAGTTCAGTAGACCAGTCTCATCCAACCAGTGAGAGCCAGTCATTTCGCCAGATCCATTAAAGCGAAAATACCCTGCGTAACAGCCGGAGTTAAACCAATCCCGGCGGGGTAGAATCGTGGTTACACCTGTGTTGACCGCATGGCTGGTTGTCGTAGACGGGCGCTTGATTGACTCCGTATGAACCAGAACACCCGGAACATCAGTTAGGGAGTTTTTGGATCCAGGCCGGTGACGACCGAGGTAGAGTTTTGGCAAAAGCTCCCGGACACGAGGTCGTGCTGAAGGTGAAATTGTATTGATAGCTGCCATAGCGTTTCTCCGGTCTAGGCAGTTAATGATGAGTTGGAATTTAGCTGCACTAAAGGACGTAAATTTTCAAATTTCAAATTTGCCTCTAACAGCGCTTTATATAGATTAATAGCCTTCTACTACTGCAGTAGCCTAACATCGGGATCTGTTTTCGGCCTAGGGCGAAGGGGGTGAAGAGGTTGAAGATAAGGCAGTAAGCATACCAAAGCAAAAAAAAAAAAAAAAACTAGATAAACAAAAAAACATATAATAAGCATTAGATGTTAGTGCTCACCTACCCTAGCATCTATTCCCTCACTACTTTACTACCCATATTCTAGCAGCCTTTAGGTGAATATTTAGGTCCCTAAATATTTTGCACTTAACTACTAAGAAGCTATATTTTAATAAAAGTATATAATAGTATCTATATAATAGAGAAAACTTATTTTAAACCTATAATATATTTATCCTACTTCTATACCTTCATCCCTTACTTAAAACTAATTAGATAGTATACTACAGAAGCTAGTAGTAACTTTTATATATATAATTAACCTTAATAATCAATTAATCATAATAATAAAGAGATTAAATAGGCTATTCTTCTATAAATATCTAAAAAGTATAAGTAGAGGGCCATACTCAGTTGTCGGTTTACAATACTACCACATCGCAAAAATTATACTTGCTTTGTCTGGTTGTTCAAGTGCGTTTCTCCCATACGAAAGCCTGCAACGCTCACAGGACGTTGAAGTATGTCGACATTGAAATTGCTGCATGGAAGGAGGGCTAATCTAAGGTTAGAAACTTGTCCGAGGCCATCTTCTCAATGTGCTAGGCCTAGCTGCATCAAACCCTAGAGCTGAAAACACCCTTTTCACTGCACGGCATAGTTTAGTGGCTTGTGAGTGTTATGCTTGCCATGTTTTTTCCTTGCGCTGGATCATATGTACTGATCTTCTCAGGGGGTTGGATACTACGGCATAAACTAGATCAACAAGCTGCTGAAAAGCTGCTGCAGTATATGGAATTGAAAACTGGCTGGAACACGTCCTACTTGATAGACTCACTAAGGGAGCAATGGCAAAATGAACTTGTCGAAGACTAAATTGTACTGTCCCACCTCGCCTTCACCTTCATGTTGTAGGAATTTAGTAGCTTGGATGCACCTAATCTTCTGGTCATAGCCTCCAGGACTTCTCTTCTAGGAGTTGAGCGTGTATACGCAAGCCATCTTGATTTTAATGCTAAATGAGAGCACATAAGGTTTATAGGAAGATGATTTTAATTATATTTACGAGGGTTTCTCTTAGCAGTAAGAACTTCATAATATTTACGGCAGAGGGCCCTCTTGTAGAGCTTGTCTGCCCTCAGTCGGTCCTTTTGTCTTGTAACACTGTGGTTTTTCTGGCATAATGACAATCCCATATAACAAATTCCGTATCTAAACCATCAACAATTCCCTCAGCACGAATTCTGGCAGGTGAAAACTTGTATCCCACTCATGCACAAACTGCCACTCCCATCCAACTTCATCATTCGAGCCAGCTATCACCAGCAGGGGTCCCTTGGCTTCCCCCTGGTATTGGAACGGCCGAGGCGGAGAGGTTGATCCATTAGTTCCTCGATCTCTAACGGCAGGCAGCAGCAGAGCAACCCAGCGATACTTTTTAAACACCGGTGCGATCACGCAGCGGAGCTTGTATAGGCTTTTCATGTCCATCCTTGAGTTTCCGCCCTTGTTGTAGACGGAATAGTAACTTTTGATCTGGGATTCGTCCTGAGTGAAGAACTTCAAGTGGAGCCAGGTCGGAAGCGCTCGGGAACGACCGATCAGGCACATAAGCCATTCCGCTTTGAAGCCTTGTTCGGTAATCATACCTGCTACACTAAGCTCTCCATCGTAGGCAGGATATTGTCCTGCAGCACTGGGCGTGCCAGCCGTGGGATGCAGGAGATTCGGGCGTGACGGCGCCCAGCTGAATCCGTGCTGGTCCTGGAGACGTGGAGCGCTGGAGACGAGAAATCCGGTTGCCAGGGGGGTTCCCATTTTGGACTTCCAAAAGTCCACAGAGGCTTTGACGAGCTTTGAGCCGCATACCAGACTCCAGATCATGGTCACGTCTCGGTCCTTGGTGGCGTGTCTGTGATTCAAGAGGCAGGTTGCTTGCTCTATCTTGACGGGAGGAATTTCTCCCTCGACTGGGCGACCGCCGGTAGGGTTGTAGTGCTGCAAGGCTAAGCATGGCGATACAAGGGTGAGATTACTGTATGCCAAGACATCGTTGAGGACGTCCACAAGGGATATGACATGGTTGTCTTTGCACAGGATGTGAAGGTTCCAGCGGCCTCGCATGCCTTCCAGGAGCGTCCAGGCACGAACATTCCAATCGCAAACCGCGAGGGTTGCCACGATAGCTTCCTTTGCCTCCAGAGAGAGTGGATGAATATTGATCTCCATGAGGTCTCGGTCGACTAGCAAGGTGACCTTGCTATTGAGGAAGTTATTATTAATCTGGCCCATCGCCTCGTACCGCAGCTCCTGATCTGTCGGGACACAAGGAGTGTCCATCCAATATGAAGTGCAGTCTAACGCCCGCGCCAGTCTGGCATATCTGCGATGGAGGCAGTTGTTGAACCCAGTCTCAGGTCGCCCCCCTTGACCGTGGCTCCAGACATGAGACACGGCCATGGTTTCCGTGGACACGGGACAGTATCGGATGTATTTCTCGTCGGTCTCTTCCAAAGAAACGGCCCTGGCTCCTTTGATGTTCTTATACGACTGTTCGTCCCAGGTTAGGAGACTGCAAGCAGAGCCAGGGCACTCGAAATCATGAGCGGATTGAATCTGGACCCCTTCGGACTCAAATCTCTGACAGTTTCCAGGCGCTTTGCCATCACAGACCCTCGACCTGCTGCTACTGCTACTACTGCTATCCTGACCAGCAGCAGCGAGATTGAGATTGCATCGCGGCTCACGGTCACCAAAATGGACATTGTAGATCTCGAACAGTCTCCTGAAATCCTGCGTCACAGAGCTGAGATCGGACCGAAGAAGCTCAAAAGCCCATTTGCACATATAATTTGGTCGTAGACTCTCGACGGTCTCTCGCCCGGGCATTGCCACAGGGTAGCTATGTCGATCAAACGAGACCCCCGTTCTCATCTGGATGTTTGCGTCGTACCACAGTTGAATCAGCATGGTCTGATGCCACGTTGCCCACAGAAACGCCTGCAGGACAAACCGAGCTCGTGCATCGGCCTCGGATGTTGAGCCCTGGAGGAATAACTCCGTTGCCGTGTCGAGAAGTGTGGTTATGGTGTCTAGATACGCGCCGAGAAACCCGACTGGAACGCTCCTTTGCATAACAAGAAACAAAGCGATCCGCACGACATTCGTACTTGGCTTGGACAAAACCCGAAGACTGGACCATTCATATCCATCGCGCAGCCTCCCAGTTCCTGTCGTTGTCGTCGCTGTAGAAGAAGAAGAAGGCGAATAAGAGGTAAAAAAGTACTCCTCTGGCCACGGACTTTCTGCATGAGACTGGCCATCCTTGCCTGCATATTCAAAGGGCAGTTCTGGAGGATATGAGGGAAGACGAGCCAGCAAGGCGCACGCCCTATCAATAATCTCATCCCTGCTCCATTTCTGCCTATGAACCAGGAGGCTACATACCATTACTGGGGAAAGCAAATTATCCAGCTTCTCGACGTGGGAGCCCAGATCCTCGTTCTTGGGATCCATGAATACAAACCCATCCCGACACCACTGCTCGAGCCGCGCCTTGGTTTCTGCGCTGTTTAGCAAGCTGACGTTCGGTGCTTCGCCTGTCTCGCTGAAAGGCCGAAATCGCATTTCGATTGGCAGCAGCCACCCGGGCTTGTCGGCTGGATCATACGTATTCAGATCAAGAATCGCAGCTACCTGAGCTCTGCTCAGTGCTTGAACAGCCGGACCTGTCATTGTTTTCTTTCTTTCTTTATTTCCCCGCACTTGTATTCTCCTTGTCCTTGGTGCTTTAGGTCTGGGGCAGCGTGTCAATATAAACATCAAAGTGGGAGCGCTTCAAACATTGGCGGTTAGTCTATAATAACTGCGGCGGGGCCCTTAAGCTAGACCAATAAATGTCCAAGCTAGGCCTCGTACTAATCCTATAACTACTTAGTTTATTGTCCATGTCTGCCATGTGGGCCATGATCATTGGCTCAGGATAACAAGTGCAGACCCGATCTGCCATAAGCAAAGTAAGTTTGTCTCTCACTCTGCTCCTCTGGGAGCTGGGGAGCAGTGTACAGGATGTGTACCATGTCAGAGGTGCTAGGAACACCAAATAGCCTGTGTAATCAATAAAGAGATAGTTGAATGCTGGAAACTCAGTATGAAACACAGATTAACTTGTGTTAAACACAACTCTTCTTGAATAGTGCGCGAAGTTCAAATTTACCCTATAAGTAGCAGGGCACCTTCCATACAGTCGCATAGCAGTATTGCCATATGATGGGAAGGAACCATTCATGGAACTTAATCTTAGACTAATACTTTTTAAGTCTAGACTATTTCTTCCTATCAATACCAAATACATCCCTATAAATTTTAGTTTCGACTTTCCTCCTCTCCCAAAAAGTGAGAAAGAAGGATTGGTCGGGACGTGCGAGTGGAAGCAAGTCCTTCTAGAAATATCTAGTAGGGCTGGAATGGTTAAGGTAAAAGGGATAATAGGCAATAGCATTTATTATCTATGACTGGATAATGGGGTGTATTTATTGTGGGTAAAGGACACCAAATTTGGATTAAAGGGGCTCAGGTATAGTCAAAGGAGTAATCTAGGATAGGAGAAGTTTACTATACTATATTAATAAGCTTAGACCTCTATTTACAGCTTATGGCAAAGAACCTGTCAGTCTTAAGAGACTACTATTCTGTCTTTAAATAGAAACCTAATCTATAATGTCAGGTTACTCTAGATATTATTTCCTTAAGGCCTTTGCCGCAGTTGTAGAAGGGTGTCCGTAATGATTATATTTATCTAGTGAGAGACTTTAAGATACAGGACTGTCTTATCATTGGCATCTATGGTTGCTCTAATTATATGTAATAAAGGAGATAGTAACTGTAGCCACTATGCATGTTAGGCAACTACCTTGCTAACTATGACTTTTAGGTGTGGCCCATGATACTCTAGCAGAATATAATCTTACTACTCATGCTTCTTGGGACTTTGCAAACACAGATTAGATGTCATGTGTAAGACTGTAAGCTGTGCCTCGCGCAGAGACATACCTAGAAGGATTGACCTTGATCTCAAACTTTCGGAAAACGTGTGCGAAACAGAGATATTCTGCCCAGGTAAGGCGGCCAAAGGCGGACAAGAACGTGGTTAATCTCAACTCTGGAGCACAAACGGCACATAGACTATCTTCGCCAGCTGATTCCAGTGCGCTTTCCGAGATGGTTCGGGAAGCCATGCCGTGGTCGTCCGAAGAGAAGGACCTTCTTTATAGAGGACGTATGCCCAGGTTTGCGCAATAAGCATTGTAAATCGCCGCTAACTGACTATGATATCCCTAGTTCAATCCGTCGCACCCAATAGTTTACGGGCTAGTCTCTTGGCAATGGTTGAATAGGAAAAGTCAGTGGGCCTTAGATAGGAAGGGAAAGGGATGCAGATGCAATTACAATTCCAAGAGCAGCCCAGAACCAAGATGAGGCATAGTTTCTAGATACTATATCAAGTGTTCAGAATTGTCCACTTAATAACCTTGATTTTCATATAGCCAACCCTTCCAGTTATAGTCCAGTGACACTGTGACTGCAATAACTATGAATGCATGATCAGCAACTACGTGTGATTTAATGGTCGCATGTTCGCTGCATGATTCTGTAGAAAGCAGCGCTTTGCCCAAAGGAGCATGTGCTGGCAGTATAGACAATGTATCTAACCGCCGACACAGTACTGCTTCATGGGGTATCAGAGATATGCATAAATATGATCATATGTAAGAAGTAGTGTTCTAGGCAGCTACTACTCCAACGCCTTAAAAAAAGGTTCCAATGGTGATTCCCCCTGGAATCACCAGGCCTAGAACATGCTTATAAGCCTCCCTGATGTAGTGACCCTACCTAGGCCGCAGCCCCATGACAAATGGGTATCTACACCTAGTTTACTAACAAGATAGCTGGCTTTAACTAATGCAGGATAGTGCACCTGGGCATGCTAGTAAGGATACCCTTGAGGAGCTTTAAGAGTATAGTATCTACCCTATTACCTACTACCTAGCCTGCCTTCTCACCTAATCTGCATCCCATTGAGATGGTTTTGGAATTAGATGAAGGACTGGATCCAAGAGAGATATCCAGATCATCATTAACTGTTATATGATGCTCTATGAGAGGTGGTTCAAGCTACCTGGGATGCAGTCCCTGAAGGTTTCCTTAAGGATCTGATTAATCTATGCAAGTTAGATGCCAGGCATAATAAGGGCAAAAGGGGGTCATACAGAATATTAGATAATTACTGGATAGCAGCAGAATTAATATGATTTGTTCATGCAGGACCCCACCATACCAACAAAATCACCGGGGTCAACCGGAGTAGTTTATAGCTATAAGGTGCCTAATATTACCATCATCTATAATAATGTTTTCCATATTTATGCTCCGCCACACAGCTTATCTGAGTCTTACTGAGATTCAACACGCTGCAAGGTATATGCCCATCTACCCAGTTCCCGTGATAAACACCGTCAAAACAGTAGCGTACCTACAGCCAAGACGCCGTCAGTAACCGTCCTACCAAGGTACGTACGGATATGTCCAAAACGCAAAAGGGACTGAGAGGAAACCCACGCAGACCCCATAATCGCCAAGTCCACTGTCTTTGCCCTGGCAAGCCACGACATCATGCACAGAAACAGCACGGTGGACACAACGATCACGACCAGACTCGCCGTTTCGCGGCCCGCGCCGAACGAGTGGCAGATTACCACGGGCACGAGCAGAAAGACAAGGAGGAGCAGCGCGATCGCCGTGCGCGCGATCTGGCCGAGCACGCGGCCGTGGTAGATGAGAACATGAGCGTCGGATGAGATGGAGGAGCACATTTTCTTCGGTAGCCAGCGTCTTCAATCAGTATGTCTGTATCTTCACTGGACGAGAGAGTGGGGACATGCCTTGTACGGTGCCGCCAAGTATGTCTTGAGAAAGTCCTTGATCCAGAGCTCCACGAGGTCCGGTGCGCTGTCTGGCGAAGTGCAGAGGGCCAACAGGTCGCCGTGGTGACGAGTCTGCGTGATATACTCCGGGTAGTGGCGCGCGAGGCAGGGGTTGCCCTCGATCCAGTTGCGGAGGTTGCCGATGTTGCGCTCCTGCGGCGCGCCTAGGGGCAGTATTGTCCGTGCGGTTCTTTCGATGAGGGTATCTACATGCATGTCTTTTGTTCAGTAGGTATGCTTCCAGACGGCATTCGGGTTACGGCAAGCCAGGTACATAGGGCATACCGTAATCCGCCAACGCAGCATCAATCTCAGCCAGCACTGCTTTCCGCGCCTCATTCCGATCCAGCCGGCTGCTCGACAGGAAAAGCGGGTGTTGTTCATTCTGGTCGATATCGCGCAGCTTATCTTCCAACTGTGCTAGCCGGTCCTGTTTATCGAGCAGCAGACGCGTCCGGAGATACGAGAACTGTCGATAGACCTGGAAGGATTCGTGGGAGGCGACTAGGGCTCCGTACCGGGGGCGGCCAGGCGGATAGTCCTCGACTAGGTGGATGGGTAAGCACGGAACTTTAGGAAGGTAACATGGATAGGGCAGCTGGGCTTACTGTGTGCTGCGCTCGAGGCCTGTCGGCTGGCCTTGATGGCCTCGTCTTTGTGGCCGACGTCTGGCTCAGGGCTGCGCGTCATTTCCAGCTGACTGACTCGGACCCCACAGCTTTGTGTAGGTTCTGAAGCATGCAGTGGCAGCAGAGTAGACGGCATTTTCAAGAGCTGGGCTGTTTAAGTCTAGACTACTCTGTGTGGGTTTGTCGGTTTGAACAGTACGTTTTTCCGTTGTCGGTGCTGGAAGTGAGATACGGACGATTCGGTACCAGATGTAGTACAAAATTGCTCGATACTCAATCAAAAGATCAATAGATCATGTGGTGAAATGACGTCTTGCGGATTTAAGAAGAGGTTCACCATGTCACCGGCAAGGCTGAGAATCGAGGCGCAGCCACCACTAACCTGCTAGGCTGGGGAGGACCTGCAAATGATAAATTCCCAATGGCACCTACGCATTCCTGCCCAGCGGAACAGTAACATGTAGCTCGATCTGAACAGGACCATACATATAACACCCAGCAAGGCAGAAAAGGGTCAGACAGCCTTTTGCTTGCGTCTACCTCTCGCCGCTCGATTTTGATCAATCAGCCATCGACTTCTTGATCAAGCGGATAATGGACACTTGCCGAGTGTGAGACTACGTTGCCTTTAAATGTCTACTTCTATTTTCAGCGCACTCATATCCGCAGAAAGGAAAACAGTCATCATGAGATACCCGTCGGTCATGACGACCAGGGCCGGGCATCGATCCTGCCCTACTCGCAGGTAAGACACTCTACGATACAAGTGCTGCATCTTGTATAAACTAATATATGTAGACGACCCGGTTTTATCCCGGCGATCTGATCCATGTTTCAGTTAGGCGCCGCGATGGCGCGATCGAAATCCATGGGCCATACCTGGTCGAAATGGTGATTGCGGGCAAGTACACGCTATGCATGGATGATGGAACAGTGGTCTCTGTAGACGGGAAGACAGTATTCGAGGAATCGGACCTAGTGGAAGCGGTATAAGTGTTCTCATTCTGGGCATTAAAGTTCATGGGCTGTCGAGTTATATATAGATTCACTTCATACATATGTACGTATGGTGACCGTAAACACTGCCGCTTTTTCTTCACATTGACGCAAATTTTGGGGAACGGCTTTTATTGATTTTGTTGAGTCTAGCCCCTGACTTCCTCCCCTCGTAGTCTGCTGCAAGATACTGCTAAGCTTGGGCAGAAGGAGCGAATCGAACGAGGTCGGAGTATTCGTGACGATAATCCTGATTATATCGTCGCAGCATCCAGATGAGCGCAGATGTTCCGGTACTGCCATAGCAAATGCCATCTCTGTTGTTCCGGTAAAGTGTAGAGCCGGGTCCGCAGGGGAAACAGCGTCAAAACAAGTTCCCCCCTCCTCGCCGGACAGATACTGGATCTGCCATGAGGGAGTGAAGTTCAGGACTGTCACGTATAGTGTGACAGTTTGGCTTAGATTCTTGACCGTTAGGGTTAGCTCCTCTTGATCAACGACGTCGACTACACCTTCCATGTTATATTTCGTGTTTTGTTCATTGCGCATACTGATCTCAAACAGTGAATGGAAGTCACTATCGTGACTGGGTGGCTCGATTGCTTTGTAGTATGAGAATGCTGCGATATGATCAACTGCTTTAATCAAAGGGTCCCATTGCTGGATAGGGGGCAGAGGAAGGGCTTTTTGATCGGCATCGAGGAGCTCATACCCTCTGTTCATGTCAAATTGTATATAAAACCCGCACCGGTCGGCACTCGTGCGAGGGCTGTCTGAGACACAAATGGAGGGCAGCTCCTGTAGAGCAGTGACAAGGTCAGAGGGCCTGCTGATGGAACGCATAAGACCAACCAGAGTCGAAGCCTGCCGCGAGACTAATTGTGCCTTCCAATGGCTGGCCGTTGCGGTTGACATGGAGATATCAAGCAATTCGACGATTGAAGTGATCTGGCCGACAAACATGACCCTAGCCCTGATGGTCTCCTCTTGCACAGAGCCATTCACGGTCTCACCAGCCCAGAAAGGAGATAGGATATATTCGTCACACAAATTGACCCCGTGTGCGTGTCCCGCCTCCAAGACAAGCTGTTGATTGCTGTACGTGGCCGAGATGCTTGTAACATGGCCCCCGTGTAGGACTTCACCGAAAAAGAAAGCGCCATTGCTTCCATACAGCATCGGAGTTTGTTTTGCCATCCTTTGATGGACCATGCTCACGAGGGCATTATATATAGTCTGAACGGAGACTTGAGATGCTCGGGCCAAAAGAGAAGTGAGGATATCATGCAAGTGATAGGATAACACGCCATACGATAGTCCGTTCAAGGTAACCTCCCCGGCTACTTCATGAGGGCCACAGGCAGTGATGACGAGGTATCCTTCAGGCTTCACCAACCAATTGGGCAACGCTCGTGCATCTCGCAGGCCGTAATGCTGGCGGCTTTCCCCGGAACCATTAACCTCTGGATCATCTGGGATATCAAACGCAGATTCATGCTCCATGCTTCGAATGCTACCATCAGCATGCTCGTGTTGACGGTATACATCACCTGAAAAACAGCAGTCAAGTGTCAGCGTCACGACAAGGCCGTGGTCAGTTATTCGCTTCAATGTATTTGCCAACGCCAGGCCTCGCAGTTCATCGCACGCAGTTGCAGAGTCATTGAGAAAAAGCAGGCCCACGTCGCCGCCACTTTTCTTTCCGTACTTTAGTCGAGGCGGTCGTGGAAACCGAGTTCCATGCCCGGAGAAGTGAATGTACACGAAATTCCCGGGCACAGCGAGGGCTAGGATCTGGTCCACACAGCGTCTGAGATTCGATAGCGTCGGCCATAGATCGTGTTCCTCTTGCAGTGGTGAGCTTCCTGGGTCTGTGGCCGGAGTCGCTGTAAGCGCTGTCACCTTGACTGGGCTTGAGCTGGCTTCGAGATACGCCTTCATCAAGTTGACATCGTTTACGCAGCCCCTCAACGGCTTCGTGGCGTACCCGTTGATGCCGATCAGAATTGCCCAGCGATCAGGCATTTCGCACAGATTCAGAGTACTTGGTGTATCGCTAATTCCAGCGGCTGTACTAGGTAGCTGCAAGCGTTTAGCAAGTGAGCATTGGTTAGCGACTTTCTGGCTACCCTCAGCCTCGCTGTCTGGGCGCCGAGGGGAGAGGCTGAGGGGGCTTCGTGTTCGCATCCCATTGGACACGGCCCCAACAGATGCAAGCAACGAGGCTTGGGTAAAGCTATCTTTGATACTGGCCTATAAGGCAAACGCCTTTTAGACTAGGTAGTAGCTACCTCCGAGACGATGTTGAGAGACGAAAAGGAATCTCGCGAAGAGGGGTTTAAGCGCCCGCCTTTCTCCAACAGCTGTTCCTGCCTGCGTCCAACAAACGGCGACGCCCTCCGAAACTGCCTGCCTAAGAGAGCCTGTCATCAGATCTATTAACATCATATGGCTTCCCCTCATATTGACCCCGAGGTTGCCAGTCTACTTGAATCCGCCAGTGACGATGAACTCCTTGCTTTTGCCGAACTACACGAGGATGGTGAGGATGAGACAACCATTAAGCTTTCAGTATTTGCTCTGTTCCATGCTTTCAAAAGGTCGGGCAACAGCGAATACCTCGTTCGTGCCCGTGCTCGCTCGGAACAGCTGTTAGCTATGACGGCCGACGACAGTCCGTTTTGGGATGAACGCAACCTGATCCTGTCCGCGATGACGGCGTTGCTAAGTGAACTGGAAGAAGGACAAAATGAGATCGCTGACCTGGCCGTCACCATGGGTCTGGATGTCGGTGTTATCGCGAATGAGCCTGTACCGAAGCAGCTGGATCTTCTCATCGAGCATGCTAAAGCCCAGGCTGAAGCTGTACCTCGAGATCCGAACCGCCGTGACTTGGTGATGCAATACTATACGCTTCTCGAGAGCCGCTATAACGGGACTCGGACGCTGTCCGATCTGGAACAACTCATCCAACTTGGAGAGAAGCTGCTTGAATTGCCCTCGGATGATCCGGAATGGCAGCACGCGTGGCTGATCCAGCTTACCAAATGGAACACGGAACGATATTTCTTTCACGGGGAGCGACGGTCCGAAGATTTCGACCGTGCTGTGGATATGACAAACCGACTAATGGCATCTGCTCCTTCAGAGTTCCGGCTTCAGGCCATGGATAATGGCATACAGGGTACCTACGAGGCACTGGCGGCCGTCACCTTGGATAATCCTGATCGCAATTCTTACTTGATATATCTCGGAACGTATCTTCTTGCTCGATGTAATGAGACTGGGGCTGTAGCGGATGTGGACGAAGCCATCGAAGCCATGAGCCCGGCATTGGGTGACATGGTAGCCGGACATACGAACCAACTAGAGTTCATTGACGTTTACACGAAGTGTCTTTACAAGCGATTTGCAATGACTCGGACCTTGGATAATCTGGATAGTGCCATAGAACTGGCTAAGGTGGCTTTGGATGGAACTCAATCCCCAGAGCTCTCCGGCCAGTTGAGTCTCTACCTGGCTGAACGCTTTCGATGCACAAGAACAATTAGCGACTTTCATGAAGCTATTGACAATATCAGAGCAGCTCTCAGACAGCCAAGAGACGAAGAGACCGAGCGGCTTAGCCAACTATTTACTTTTGGAGGTTCTTCGAGGTCTTCGTCTCAACACAGCGGGGGTTCAGATTTAGCAAGACAAGCCATCGACATTCTACAGCAAGCCTTCGAAAACTCGCCAACTGGGCACGCCCTGCAACCATGGTTCCTGCTAGTACTTGGTCTTTGGTACGGCAGAAAACACCTGGACAGGGTGATAGACGATTTCGCTCTTGCTCTTTCTACAGTAGAGGAGGCCTTGGCAATCTCTTCCTCTGACAACATTTGTCAAGCTGCATGTTTGAACAGTCTCGGTCAGCTACTGAGCGAGCGATTTGAGCACCTTGGATCACTGGATGACATCGACCAAGCAGTCCGATATGCCAAAAAGGCAAGCGAAAGCGCACCCCATGATCATGTTGAGAGACGACAGGCCGCTTGCAATATCGGAATCTGGACGAATCTGCGAGCTGAAGCGACGGAGTCGTATGAAGATGTTGACGCTGCTATTGAAGCGCTGAAGGGCGCTGTCAGCTCTCTCTCTTTTACCGACCATGGCTACTACATCTGCTTGTTCTCCCTAATTTTGAGACTGGGCACGAGATATACTGCCCGCGGATCACTTCAAGACCTTCACGCTTCAATAGACATACTCTCAAGTGCCTTAGAGCACTTGCCTTCCGTTGATCAGTACCGCACTACTATACTTGGCACAATCGGTGAGCTTCTGTGCAGACGATACGTAAGGATAGGAGCTGTGGAGGATCTTGACCGTGCAATGGAGTTGACTACCATGGCCATGCACGAGTACCCCACAGGTAGTGAGGAGCATACGAGCTGCCTCACCAATCTATCATGGCAGCTTTCTCATCGCCCGGGCACTGGAAACAAGGACCACCTTGACCGTGCCATAGAGGCTGCACGAGCCGCATTCGACGCCACCCCTGATGGACACACGTGGTTTTTTATGCGAGCCGGCATTCTTGCAGAAATGATTCACTCCCGCTGTGTAAGGGATCGAACGATTGACGACCTCGACGAGGCCGAAGTCTTTGCGAATGTGGCAGTGGCCACCGCGCCTTCAGATGGCAACGAGAAGGCCTGGAGACTCTACAGCCTTGCAAATATCCTTCGAACTCGGGCAGTTTTGTCGACCAAATGGGCGGATCTGGACAAGGCCATTGAAACGGCGAGGGAATCGGCGAGCATGTCGGGAGTGGATGACCACATCCGAGCTCTTTTTCTCAAGAACCTGGCAAACTTGCTTGCCGAGAGATATCCAGGGTGCATGTCGCCAGCCCACGAGGCGCATGCGGCTACTTTTGACGTGGTGAAGGCTGGTTGGTATTGTAGTAAGAAAGCTGAGCCAACGACTCGCATTCATCTAGGCCTTACTGCATCTTTCTACATGGCAGCCAATGCTGACTGGGTGTCCGCCAACACCGTCTTGGAGGAGGCCATCCAGCTTGTTCCTCTGCTGAGCCCCCGAATCTTTAGCAACACGGACAAGGAGCGTGGGCTGGGGCAGTTCACCGGCGTGGCTTCCATTGCCGCCGCTGTGGCCTTAAATGCGGGCAAGAGCCCTGGCCAAGCACTGCAGGCGCTTGAGCTCGCTTCTGGAGTCATCACTGGGTTGCTCACGGAGATGCGGGCGAGCACTGACGAGCTCGAGAGGAAGCACCCACAACTAGCAGAAAGGTTCATACAGTTGCGAGACCAACTGGACTCGGACCCAACGGTGACAGCTCTATCAGTAGACATTCGTGATCAAAACAGGTCCTTGTCGAGTCTGAACACACGATATCGGCTGGACGAATCACTCAGCGACGTCATCCAGCAAATACGGGGACTCGCTGGATTCGAGAGATTCCTGCTGCCGCTGACTCCCGACGACATGATGGCCACCGCGAGCCAGGGGCCGGTGGTCGTTCTCAGCGTCAGCACCCACCGCTGCGATGCCTTCGTCATCAAAACTGACAGTATCGCTGCATTGAACCTGCCGGGTCTGAACATAGAGGATGTGCATCGCATGGCTGAAGCTTTGACGTCAAATACAACCTGCGTTCTTGAATGGCTATGGGCTGCCATTGTAGAGCCTGTCTTGAGCCATCTAGGGTACAATCAACCCCCGTCAGATGGGGACTGGCCTCACATATGGTGGATTCCTGGAGGATTGCTCGCGAGGTTTCCTATCCACGCAGCCGGCAACCATGCCAACGGCTCAAAGGAAACTGCCCTCGATAGAGTTGTCTCCTCGTACTCTACCTCCCCCAGGGCCCTGGCCTATGGCCAACGACACCAGATCCGACGCTGCAGTGACACCAAAGCCGAGTACGCACTTCTGGCCGCAATGCCTGAGACACCCGGTCAGTCGGCCCTCCCGTTCGCTTCGAAAGAGGTCGACATGCTCCGTGAGCTGTGTCCCTCGCTGCGTTTACAGCAGATCGAATTAGTCCAGCCCACCAAAGCCCAACTCCTGACGCATCTGAAGGGCTGCCAGATTTTTCATTTTGCCGGTCACGGGCTTTCCGACAATGGAGAGCCGTCCGAAAGTTGCCTTCTACTCGAGGACTGGGCCAACAATCGGCTCACTGTGGGGAGCCTCCGCGACCTCAAGCTACAAGAAAACGCACCATTCCTGGCCTACCTATCCGCGTGCTCAACGGGAGCGAATACCGCCGGAAGACTCCAGGATGAAGGAATCCATCTCATCAACTCGTGCCAGCTTGCAGGGTTCCGTCATGTTATTGGCACTCTCTGGGAAGTCTCTGACTTTCACTGCGTCGAGATTGCCAGAAGCTTCTACGAATTTATTCGCGATCAGGGTCTATTGGATGGTGCTGTAGCCCTTGGGCTGCACATGGCCATGAGAAAACTACGGGACATGGACAGAGAAACTGTGACGAGCAGGTCGCTGGATGACTGTAGTCATGAAGACGACTATGAAGGGTTGGATCCTGACCTATGTGCAGGTGGTGCCTCCAGCACATTTGCGGCTGTTAGCATAGCTAAAAGCGAGAGAGACGCAGTCCGCAGGAAACTTCGGAAGAGGGATATGGCTCTGTACTGGGTCCCGTACGTCCACTTTGGAGTATAGATTACTACCTACAGTCAGTGGATGTGTGATTATGGTGAATTACCAGCATCCATTCTTTGTTTCTACCTCAGCCTTCCGTTCACTAGGGCATGCTTAGCATTCCTTTGTGTTTGTTGCCTCCCGCTCACTATTCCAAATGGGTAAACGAGGTTTCGGGTACGTTGTTTGGACAGTACGTCCCGTATATAATAATTGGCCACTTTCAGCGAGCATAGGCTGGCAGCTTTAATGTCAAACTGGATTGCGAGTGCCTTTCCCGGGCAAGGCAACCAGAAGCCCTATAGGGCATCCGCTCTGCACATTAGTAAGCTCAGGAGTCAACGCAGTTGTTCAGGATGGAAGTTCTTGGAGCCTGGGAAGGGAGAAGAGGAAAAAGGAGGTTGGAGGTGGGCGGGGGGTGAAGTAATGGTTGGCAGCGCTGTGTAGAGCCAGCGCGGCCATCCGAAAAGCTAGATGAGACGCAAATCGCAGGAAACGTTACTCAGGGTTCTTGGGGCCGTTGCCTTGCTGGTTTGCTGAGCCTACACTAAACCAGAGCCTTGTTCTATACTTTGGCCAACAGAGTGCGACTGTGCTTCAGTAGGCTGACTGGCTTCCACGGAGGCCTTTCTACGCTCAATCTAGCAAGAAAACAGTGTGTTGGTAAATTAGTCCTGAACGCAACAATGTAGCCATTCGTTCCACTCTCATTCTACAACTATACGCTATTCCGCCAGAAGGTTCCAACCCCCATTTGCAGCCCGATGTTTGTCAGCGAGGTCATGCTTTCTATTGCATGAATTGCGAGTGCTGTTGCAACACCGCGGTTACCAATACGGATGCCTCTCTTTCCAGTACAGCAGAGCCAGCCGACCTCCCATCCGCCATCCTCGCTTTGTAGGGAGAGTAGCTTTTGCAAATCGAGCTCGTCAGGGATTCCAAGTGCCTGGCAAGCGATTATTCGCATCGCAAGTGCTATGGAATCGCCGTCGGCATTCACCCGTGCTCGTAGACGTGAGGTTAATAGTGGAACAATAGCCCGACAGATATCCGAGCCTGGGTTTTCTTGGACCAATTTAGAGACGTAGTAGAGGAAAACGTCCGGCGACGTATAATACCGCGTGCCGTGAATATACGCAAAGTTGAGGAGAACTTGATGGACCCAGTCCTTGGTTGCACGTAGCGAAGGATCCATTCCTCGGCTGTAATGATAAAAGAGTCGAAGAATATTCACACAGACCATAGGATCTGTTCGTGGCCGCGTCGCGTCGAAGTAGGTCTAAAGATAGTTAGGATAATAAGGGATTTATTGTTAGCCTCCAAGGGCAACCTCATGATCTACGCACCATAACAATGCCATCAGGGGTTCTGAGCGTGAGCATTTGATCCATAATTGAATCCGCGAGGTCCTTGCTCACTGGGAATAGAAGTAGCGCAAGAGATGTTGTATCCAGATCGTCGGGGTAATCTCCTGGTATGAGTGCCTGCTCCCCTGCATTTTCGTGTCAGTCAATTATCCTAGTGAGCGGGCAGGACCATATCCTACCAATAAAGTAATTCCATGTCCGCTTGTGTTGTTCCAATTCAACGAGATCCCTGCACAGTCAGTCTTAAACGAAGCGAAAACACAACGTGGAATGGGACCATACAGGTTTCTGGTGGCCTCATAAATCAACAACTGGGCAAAATTGTCTCGGATTTTATGCCCTCTATTAGTTATTGAATGCAGATGACGTGCATTGTCAAGAAGAAACTCTTCTCCTCTTTTCTCTGGTTTTTCGATAATATTCAAAACCTTGCGATGGAGATCGGTCATCCCCGAAAACAGAAGACTGTGAGCTCCAAGGGATTGCGCTGCGAGAATGTGTTCCTGAATGTTTTCGATAAAAATTGTATCCTTTGGGGAAGTTTGAATAGTGTGAAGGACATGCGAGTAAAACCGAAGCTCTGGTTTGCACATGTTCAGTTCGCAAGAGACGAAAATACAGTCAAATAGAGGCCAGGGAAATTCTCTACTCCTTAGCGCTTGCCAGTCGTGAGTGGACATGTCAAACATAGCGTGGATGATAAGTTGTTCCTTATAGCGGGCTCTTAGTCTCCGGATATAAGCTTCCAGGTGTGGATGCAGTGCCATTGTTTGTCGAGCATGCGTAATGCCCTCAGCGATCATTGTGCGGTCTGTGGAGAATCGTTTCGCCAGCTGCGACCAACATTCTTCGTCATCTTGGTGACCACGGTTGTATTCAAGCCATATGTCAGAAGACGTAATCTCCTTCCACAGGAATGGGCCTATCGTAGCTGAAGCATTCTGCTGCCTGCTTAACAACACTGTGTTGAGGTCCAGAACCAACGTCCATTGTTTCGCTGTAATCTCCATCACCGGAAAGAGAGACAGACCATGTAAGAGTAACAGAGATACTCAAAAGCTAATGAAACTTTGTAAAGGTGAGCAACAGATCTTACTGCTTCTACAAGAATCAAAAGGCCGCAGATTCACTGTATTAACCTCTTCAGGTTATTATAACCAATCTATACTGTAATTGCTTCTCAGTACAATGCACACATGCAAATAGAAAAGTATAGATTTTAGGGCTCTGTAATTAATCTTCTAAATCTAAGTGACAATTGGTTGAGAAGAAATACTGCTGATCGCGCCTACCTTTTGACTTCTTCAGGTGCACGGACTTGATTGACACGTCCAGGAGGAAGAAATCCGATTTCGTATATCTAATTGCATACAAGTATCCTGGTATTTATCAGGATTAATACCCCGTCTTATTAACTTTGAGAGTAGTTCAGACGATCTAAGAAAAAGCAAAAAGAATAAGATATAGAAGATAAACGCAGGTTTGAATTATATATGCAGCCTTTTTTCCAGTTTTATATCAATATATTCTCTTTGCTAGTTAAACGTCCCCACTTATAGTTTCGTCTTCTACAGAGAAAATGGGCTGTCAATCCAAGAACTACTATGCCTCGCGTTATCTTAAACGATCAAAAGTAGAGCAGATAACTAAGGACTATTAGATATTCGTAGAAGCACATTCCGCGGGCCCGCTAATGTAAAAAGATTACATTTTAAAGGATAAGTAAATCCTACACTGAAATTATGGAGGGCACTGGCATTTTTTAGTGCTTTTTAGTGTTATTTAGATATTGTTGAAAAAATATCATAATGAATATGACACCCTAGACTGATAGTAATCATGCCCGAACAGTATTGTATTTCAATAGATATAGTCTTCGTGAACTACCAGAACTCCACCCCAAGTCATGGTAGCTCCAGTAATGCAGGATCGTAGATATACATACATCTTTTGTAAAATAGAAATGTCATGCAGCATATAGTGGGTCGTTGACCTCTCATCCTATATTTCCCCTATATTATTCCTTATAATGGCGCTAAAATTTAGCAATGTGTACAGTTGAAATAGAGTTTAACCCCAGCGTTTCGATTCAGCTGCTTGTGCAGGAAAGTATACAGATAATGACTGGGGGATATGCAAAGCTTGCATGAGTATGTCACCGGTCCAACTGGCATCTGCAGGATACCAAAGCAGGTTCTTTCGGAATCTGTAATGGACATACCATTCCGTAGGATCTCCGACTTTTCGATCCTCTCGAATTTGAGGCCTTGATGAGATCCTCCATACGTGAATTTATCGAGGACTCCCCTTAACAACCCAAAAGCGCGTATTCTTATTCCTAACCTATATGCTTGACCAATCTATCCAGAGGAGGCTGTAAATGTAATCAGTAAAAGTGAAGTCTGTTTGTCGATGGTTTTCCTTCTGCTTTAGGATACAGAATGGCCGGAGCGGTTTCCAAGAGTTCCAGTCAAACGAAGCAAGAAAGATAACTTCCTCATTTCTGGACATCTTGAAGGTTTGTGATTAATAAAAATTAGAAATAGTGTTATCCTGTGCACAGATACTAGAGAACTAGGAACTTAACTCAGTAGCAATGTCCAGCAAAGCCCCATCGATATTTTGCAGAAAATTCAGCCCAAAGCAATGTGTGTCAAACGCTGAGTGGTACAACTCGGAAGAGTATTGGAGTTTAGTTCGCTTGAACCCCAGCGGATTCGAATATGACAGGGCGCAAAGAAAAAAAAATAAATAAATAAATAAATCTGACGGGAATACCGCTAGGCTGTAGCAGACTCTTAGCTCCGACTTCTTACCGACTGATAATTACTTTTTCAGTATCCGAGCGTACCAGAACGCTGCTGCCTTTTTCTGGCTGCGCGTAGCTGGATGCCTCGCGGAGACGAGAATCTGAATATCCTAAAGTTCACGTGGCACGCTGAGCTGGAATGAAGTGATCACCTGAGCAGAGGTCATTTTGCAGCCTATCTCTCAAACCATATCAGACAGATCTCTACAGTTGATGGTGATCACTGTCCGGATATGTAACGAGCAAAAGCAGAAAAAAAAAAAAAAAAAAAAAAAAAAAAAAAAAAAAGGGCAAGAAAAAAAGGGGGGAACTATACGCTACCTGCATGGCTTTACTGAACAGTTAATTATTTTGACTTCTTGAGTAAATGGTCTTTTTGTCCTGTTGTCTGTCAAATGGTTCAGCGTCATATGTTGGTAACTATTGGCTTTCGCCCTGAGCTAACCACTGCGCATTGTCACCCTGCCTTATAGCTTCTCATCATGTCTGTCCATATAGATCCGCATCGCACATTGACCTCCGTGATCAATCAATGCTGTACAGCTAGTGCGGCACATGTTGATGTGCACATATGATAAACAAATGAGCATGTCATCTTCCATTGCTATGGTCTCGTGATGTGTCATCGACAGGCAAACAGAGTGAAACCATGGAGTATACACAGATGTACCAAATGTTAGCTGCGGCGAGCACGGCAAAAACTACACCCAGAGTACCTTGTTACACTCTTATAGCATTCATCTCTTATCAGTCCTCATAGTTTCTCTTCAAAGAGTTACAGATATATTCCTTGGTTCCTCGCAACGTTAAATAAGCAGTGTCAGAGGGAAAGAAGATCGCGTTGTATCCATGATTTCTCTCCGTCTGCCGGAACGCCAATATTATCTATTCCTATATTTTGTCTCTTTGCATGTGGCTTTACAACACAATCCTTCCTCTGCATTATTACCCTAGCTATCGTCCTGGTCTCAACACCACAAGAGTATGCCGAAAATTCCCCAATGGCAAGGAGGCGCATTCGGCGTTTTGCTGGGACAAGAAGTAGATGAACCATGTCATTTTGGTATTTCTGGATCTCTGTGCTACTATAGCCGAAGAACTTCGTGAAACTCTCTGAATTGACCTTATTCAATGTCAGAACGTTATTCCGATCCGCAGACTGCACGTACGCAACTGGATGGGTGGGCGCTAGCGGATCCATATGAGGTGGACTTGAACCTGGCACACCTAACAGCATGGGCTCAGTATTAAGCGTGAGGCAGCTGTGATTAATGTGGGTCAATTGACTAGAGGAGATCTCGACCTGATTGTCTGTATTGATAGGACTGTACTTTACACACAATCCTTGGTCCATTCCAATAGAAACCATCCTCTTCCCTACTTTAACCCTATAACTTCCGCTGTCATACCATGCTGCTTCTGCAACTGCAAAACTGGATTATCCCACTCACGAGTCCGCTCCGTCTTCTTGCCCAGCAACCCCCCTCAAACGAGCAGACCTTCAACCCATGGGCCCGACCATCGCCTCCTTGTCTTGTATTGACGCAACCGCATTGTCAATCCTACTCTTAGCAGCCATGGGGTTTAAAAAGTCCTCCAAACCATCCTCCTCCTTCCTTGTGTTGACCAGCAAGTCCTTCCTCTGTTGAAGGTTGCCTTCGCCCAGCGTATTCCTGCTCCCCCAACTACCCCTCTTCCAGACGCAATGGACTCGCAGATCTTCGGGTATATAAGGACGGTTTGGATGATGGTGATACTACCAGTATAGGTAGGACTTGGAGAGCTATTGTTCATTGGATGGAAGCAGGCCGTTCCCTTCATCAATGATGTACGAATGAAATCACCTTCTTCTGATTATTCTTGCTGTATTTGAAATAGAGATAATACTTGTTACCACACTGATGACGCTGTAGGTGGATGCATGAAGCTTTCCTATGAAATATTTCGCCTGTTATGACATGTTTCTTGCGTTATTAGCATTAGCACTGAAGACCGCTGCTGGGGTGCTCATGTATGTGAAAATGTATCCTAAGTTCTTGAGATCTAGTTGTTTATCTCTGCTATTAGCTAGCATAAGAGTCAGAAACAAGCCTATCAGTCAGGACCTTATCTGGCTCACCAATTCTGGTCTTTCCATCATCCTGAAGCATAATATTTCTTTGAGATAGGTCACCATGAGCAAAACGTTTAGGACTATATGTTAGGTTCGCAAGTG